AGCCATAGCTGGGCCAAAAGGGGAGTTGTACCTGCATAGTGCTTTGCAAGTCTTGCCGACTGGCTGTTGGTTAGGACTTGCAATCTGGAAGGTGGAAGAGATGAGGATCGTCCCACTGTGGTGTAGTGGTTAGAGTAATAGACTGAGACTGGGGAGACTAGGGTTCAAATCCCCACTCGCCCATGAAGCTCACTGGGTGACCTTTGGACCAGCCACTGTCTGCCAGTCTACCTTGCCTCCTAGGGTTGTTGTGAGGATAAAATGAGGAGAATGAGAACCATATTGGAGGGAAGGTGGGGTATATAAAGGTAATAAATAAAACACCTTTCGCCATCTCTAATATTAGGAGTGGAGCAGAGATTAATAATATAAACTCTGAAGGCTTGTTGTTGGCCTTCGCCTTGAGAGACAATGGAGTGCACCTCCAGGGGTGAAGTCAAACCGCTGGGTAACAGCACGGAAGTGACCTCAGCACAGAAGTGACCTCAGCAGGGCGCAAGTCTGAGCCATGTGTATGGAGGTCCTGGGCTGCCCAGATGACAAGACCCCCCTCTTGGCCTTGCTGATGTGGTCCAAAGGAAAGCACATATCAGTGGAGTTGATTACACACAACATAAATCAGGTCAAGCCCTTAGTGAAATGAACTGGAAGGCTGTATTTATTTTTTCATCTGAGGCTTCACAGAATCCTTTAGTCCACCACCGTCCCTCAGGAGTGATGTGAAATGTTGCAAACTCTTACGTTAAGGGAATCCACTTTCCCCTGTGGTACCACCAGTCACTCCTGCTGCTCTACTCAGAAAGTGGGATTGTCTGCAATAGGGGCTTGGGGTTCCACAGGACGTCACAGCAAGTTACAGGAGTTCCCAAAAAGAATTGCATTGTCATGTTACGCACCTTCTTTTTCACTCATCGTTGTTCCTCGTTGTGGCCCTTTCCTGGATCAAGCGGCAGAAATGTTTTGTTTGTAAACTGGAAGTTATTTGTGGGGTGTGTGGATTTTCCCCACTTTCTGTACTGGGGCATGAGTAATGGGGAAGACCTGTCATGAGTTTTTATGCTGTTTGGTGGCATACAGGCAGGGATGCAAGAGAGCAGCTCCAGAAAAGTCCCCCTTCGCGGTTCTTGCCATTTGCAAAGACATGTCGTAATATTGAAAGCAGAAGTGTCTGGGTTAATAATGTTGATCAGTGGTTCCAGGCCCATCTTCTGGGTCAAGCAGGCAGAGTGGTGCTGACGGTCCAGTGCTGTTTTTCATAGGATGGTGATAACCTGGCAATATACAAAAGAATGGAGTACAAGGTGAGAGGAGCCGTCAGACTTCCAATCTTTCAGGAGCTTCTCTGTCGCCGAAGGCAAAGCTACAGAGCATGATTCATTAATGTTGTTTCAGGGTAGGCATACATCAGGTGGAACCGTTTCTCATATGTATATTAAATTAAATGCAGCAAAAGAACCAGCTTCAAAGAACTATACTTTCCGGAGTGAAGTGCTGTTAGTATGTGTGATCGTCTTCCAAAGCAACTACTCTATCCCGAACTTAAAAATGGAAAGTATAATGCTGGTGGTCAACAAAAGAGGTTTAGAGACTGTCTCAAGGCAAATCTAAAAAAATGTAGTATAAACACTGACAACTGGGAAACACTGGCCTGCGAGCGTTCCAGTTGGAGAACAGCCTTTACCAAAGGTGTCATGGGCTTTGAAGACACTCAAACTCAGGACGCAAGGGAGAAACGTGCTAAAAGGAAGGCACGCTTGGCAAATTCATGCCGTGATCAACTCCCGCCTGGAAACCAATGTCCCCACTGTGGAAGGACGTGTGGATCCAGAACTGGCCTCCACAGTCACTTACGGACTCACTGTTAAAACCTTGTTCATGGAAGACAATCTTACTTGGCTACGAGTGATCGCCGAAGAAGAAGAAGAAGAGGAGGAGGAGGAAGAAGAAGAAGTGTGTTTTTTTAAGAAAATAAATGGGACAGACCGGAAGGACACATGGTTTAAACTGTGGCACGGTTAATGTCATAAGAAGACTCATCTAGCCCAGCAATCCCGTTCTTACACTGGGCAACCAGATGCAGATGGGACCTGAATACAGCAGGACCTCTCACCACTCATGATTCCCAGCAGAAGCACATGCAGCCTTTGACACTGGAGCGAGAACATGTGTTTGGATCCCAAGTTTGGCATAGGGCCTGCCACTCCAAACAGCACAACCATTCTCGCTTTGTGTGGAGGGCCTGAAAAAGCTGGAAGCAGTCGGGAGAAATTCTCAGATTGCCTTCCCCGTGTCTTCCAAGTTAAGGGGTCAGGGCAACGAGAGTGTGCCGTATCTTGGGCAAATCCTGAGTACCCTGAGCTGTAGCATGTTACAAGTTTTGCTGCTTGCCATTTTTCAACGCTGCTAATTTCCAAGTTTCTAGCTTAGAAGTCTTCTTGCAGCAGAGCTCATAAAAGTTCATTTTATGTGTCCAAGAAGGAAGTGGAGCTGAGTCATCCCTGCCTACAAGTAAACTTTGCCTGTGAGGAAGAAGAAGAAGAAGAAGAAGCCGCCTTGATTAGTTTGGTGGCTATCAATCCCCTTTGTAATTTCTCTCTCTCTCTCTCTCTCTCTCTCTCTCTCTCTCTGGCTTTGTGCAGAGCCAGAGAAACCCCTCAATTGCACAACGCCAATGCCATGAATTTGTGCCCAGCGGCTCTGATAAAGAAGACTCCTTCTTGAAGCATGTGACTTCTCTGATATCATGTGAACTGCACACGCCATGTTAACAGATGTTTTTTAGCTATCCTTTGGTGGGGTACGTTCCTTTGTCCCTGAAGAAGAATGCTCAGACTTGAAAAGGCTTTGAGCTCAAATTGTTTTAAATGTACCTTTTGCAGCCGCCTCTCTTTGTTCCTGGGCTGGTGCCTTCCATTTCTCATTTTCTTTAGCCTGCAGGGTGAGAGAGGGCTATACAACAAAACCCACACCTTCAGCCTGGCCTTTGACTCCTTCCTGACCAAAACTGTGCCCCTCTGTGGCTATCCTATAGCAGGAGAGGTGAGGCAGTGGTTACATTCACACCATGCATTTAAAGCACTGTGATACCACTTTAAACAGCCCCCCAAGAATCCTGGGAGACGTAGTTTGTTACAGGTACTGAGAGCCGCCATAAGACCCCTTGTCCCCTCAGCTTTACAATGCCCAGATTCCCTGGCAAGAGTAATTGACTGTGAAATCACTGAGAATTGCAGCTGCATGAGGGGAATTGGGGTCTCCTAACAACTCTCAGCACCCCTAACAAACTACAGCCATTGGGGGGGGGCTTCAAATGCATGGTGTGAATGTGTCCACTGAGGCCCCCTTCCATTGGCTCTGCTCCTCCTTCAGCCATTCCAACTGGCTACAGCAGAGAGGGAAGAGGGCCGGGCCCCTTCATAGTCTTGGCTGGAGCTAACCACCATTTTCTCCTCCCGGCCCAGAAGCATCTCCTTCAGCAGCCATTCAACATGCTCATTATAACGACTTGGTAACCTTGTCGTGAAAGTGAGAGCACGGAGGTGCTTATTTTCCTCTGCCCTCCCCATTCAGTTTTCCTTTTGTATTACAGCTGTTGGATGGCATGCCATTATTTCAGGTTGAAAGCAGTCTTGAGGGCATTGGCAGGAAGGGCATGATTATATTAAGATAGCAAGTAAACAACTAAGGAAATACAGGGCCCAATAAGGTCATGGCCTCAATGCTCACACACATAGCTGATGGACCCAGTTAACAGCTAGCTACTCTTAAAGGTGCTGGGAGTTGCTTCAGGTTTCCAGGAAAGACTGATGAGGACATTTGTGGGCCCTTCTGCTAATCCTGGCACTCTTCTTGCCACAAATCTTTGTTCCGACTGTGGTGTCCTCAGCATCTGATTTTGTGGCCTATGAAAATGTGCCTGATAACTCCAGCACTCTGCGTCTAATGCCGTCACCTGCCTGAACTGTGTACCCCTTCAAAGGTGGGCCGGCGGAGGAGAGGATGCTTATCACTGAAATCAGTACAGTGGAAAATAGGCATGAATGAACCTTTTCGCAATATCCTTTGGTGATGGCTGGAGGGGAAACGGTTAATCGGCTTCCCCACACGTCATGCCTCCTTTTTGAAACCTTTAACATGTTTTTCCCCTCATCTTTAATGGGAAAATACAGCCCCCCCCCCCCCGTTTAATCAGATCAGGCAAACATCTGCCTAATCATGTATGATCTGCTTTTTGGGTTCATCTCACGTAGCCCATGCTCCCTATTTTACAATAAGAACTCCAGAAGAGCCCTGTGGGATCAAACCAAAGGCCTGTGTTGTCCAGCAACCTTTCCTATAGTGGCAAAGCAGATGTGCTGCACATGCCCCTCCAGGCAAATAGACCTCTCCAGTTTCTGTCGCTACCATGCTGCCTCTGAAACTGTAGCATTAGAGAGCATTATGCTGCATGAATCCTTTATCCTTGACTTCCCCAACTTGGCACCCCAGCCCAGTAAGATACTATTGGACTCAAACTCCCATCATCCCCAGCCAGCGTAGTCAGGAATGATAGAAGTTGTGGTCCACAGCAACATCTGGAAGGCCCAGAAGGTTTATTCACCCCTCCTTTAAACAAAGAAGAAACCAGCTGTGGAGGACACCTATCGGCAAGCATTTGTGACAAATCCAACGCACCTGGCTCCCTATCACCAGAGCAGTTTTGCAGCTATATTCAACATGTTTGCCAGTAAATAATAATAATAATAATAATAATGATAATAATAGAGGATTACAGATATATTCCACTTTAGTTATTTTAAAGGCTCACACGCAGTTTAAACCATGTTAGAAAGAGACTTAAGGCTGTACCAGCTTTCACCTTTTGATACCTGTATGTGTGGTGCCAGCTGCATGGGAAGTTGGCTTATACTGAGTCAGATGATTGGTCTATCTAACTCTGTATAGTCTAACTGGCAGCGGCTCTGCAAGGTTTCTGGCAGGGGTCTTTCCCCAGCCCTAGCCAGAGATGCTGATTATTGAACCCAGGACCGTCTGCATGTAAGGCAGATGTTCTGCCACTGAGCTACCATCCTACTGTGAAATTTTTCTGTGTCCGCTCTCATAAGAGCATACTGCTGTTTCTCTGCCCAACATGTTACTGCTTTGTTGATCAGGGAAGGACAAAACTATTTCTGGGCCATGTCACTTTTTGCATAGGTTCACCTGTACTTCTGTTCTATTATTTTGTTTAAACAACAACCACCCAACCACCAACCTCATTGAAACCGATACTTACATATATAGGGAGTTTGAAAAAGTGTACATTGTTTGATCCATTAGCTGAGCACTGGATTCAGAGTCAAAAACCATTCATAGATATCCATTATCCCTGCTTTAAATGGTGACCTGCATGTTATTCTGAAAGGTGTGGATTTGGGACACACTGCATGCAAGTGTTTGCAAAGACTGAATTCCTCAAGCGTTACTTATGAGTACCCTTTTTTCACTGGAGAAGAAGCAGGTGTTGGGTGTTTAGTGTGTCAAGCTGGCATAGCTGCTCTCCTGTAATGAAATTGGTGGAAAAGTTGCCATCCTTCCCCCCGATTCATCGTCCAATTCTCCACCCCCGACTTTCCCTGCACAGAGTCTTTTTGACTCTGAAGCGAAGAACTCAAGTAAAGTAAGCAGAAATACAAAAAAAGAGCCTGTCCCCTAAGAGACCAGGGGTGGAGACTGAAGAGGGCTCCCGTCAATTTTGAAATCAGGAACTGTGTGGCAGTGTGTGGTTCATTCTCTAGGCTTGGCCGATGTGAATACAGTGGTACCTCGGGTTAAGAACTTAATTCGTTCTGGAGGTCTGTTCTTAACCTAAAACTGTTCTTAACCTGAGGTACCACTTTAGCTAATGGGGCCTCCCGCTGCACGATTTCTGTTCTCATCCTGAAGCAAAGTTCTTAACCTGAGGTACTGTTTCTGGGTTAGCGGAGTCTGTAACCTGAAGCATCTGTAACCTGAAGCGTCTGTAACCTGAAGCGTCTGTAACCCGAGGTACCACTGTAAGCTATTGGGAGCAAAAGAGGCACCGCTTGTAGGCGAGGGCCAGAGAGAGAAGCGGGTGGGACTGATCCTCTAAGAGCCCTGGGTTTTTTGTTCAGAACAAAATTGGATGTTTAGCCTCAGTTTTTATTCTTGCAGCAAGAGTGGCTACTTCTCAAGGTGGAAGAGGCGAACCAAAAGGAGGAACCTCTTCCTCTCCTCTCCCAGCCAAAGAGATGAATCACATTCCCAAAATTACAATTAAGTTTTCAGCTCTCACACAACACCAGGGCAGTGAGCAAGTGGTGACGTCTCAGCTCTGGTCAGGAGGGAGTGGTTTTTATATCCTTTCCACCACCTCCAGCTGTCTTCTGTCATTAGACTTTTTGACTTACTCTAGAGCAACCTTTGGTGAAGACTGACTATACTCACAGAGAAGATCAGAAGGAAAAGTGTGGCACATCTCTGGCGGTTACTTTCTCTCTCCGCAGCAAAATTAACGTTTGTGTTTTGATACTGTTCTCCATTTGAATTAGGCACATTGGGATTTAGTCTAGCCTGGATCTTATTTTATTTTTGCACGGGGAGACGACAACGTGCCTTTTTTTTGGTCTGTTTATAGAAAGTTCCTGTTTCAAACATCTGGATTTTGTTGGCTGTTGGGTCCTTATCCCCTCCCTCTTTTTTCTTCTTCCTTGGATCTTGAAGTCTTTTCAAACCAGACTGGGAAACTTCTCGGTGGCAAAAAGTTTCAAGGAAGTTTTGGCGTGCCCCCGTCCCAAGCAGCAAATCTCCTTCTGCGTAGCCAACCATATCCATCCTGTGTACTGCTTGCATCTTTTATACAAGTAGCTCTATGTTCCAATGAGTCTTTTTTTAAAAAAAAAAATCAACCAGTCACAGTGGTGAAGTTTCTCTCCCCCCTTTCTTCCTGTTGAGAGAACTGGCCAGACTCAATGTGATTCAGAGAGAGAGAGAGAGATCTTGCTGAGACTCGAGGACCCTTAGCAAAAACACATCTGGGAGAGAGAGGTTTTGTTTTTTTCAGTTTTCTCTTGCTTGCTGAATCTACCCTGGAGTTGATGATTAGCCCTGCTCTTCATAACCCCAATCCTCAGACAAAATGTACGAACGTCACAAGAGACGATACAGCCTGTGTGACATTTCGAAGGTGGACAGGACTGTGGATGTTGTGCTCTTAAAGGTATGGTGCTGTTGCTTCTTTTCATGGTTTTCATGGTCTGCATCTCTGTTAGCTCCTGTTGCAGGAAGAAGCCAGATGTTTCTTGCTTTCTCTCCCGCTGTTGTTCTTCCCAGCTGTTTGTCATGATGGGACTTGGTAGGACATGGAAATCCGTTCATTTCCAATTGCATGCTTTAAAACTGCAAAGGAGCTGAGTATTTTGCAACGTGATCCCTTCGCACGTTGACTCACAAGTGAGGTGTGCAATGTTCACAGGCAAAATTGCACAGGGTTTTCAGAAAAGAGGGGGGACCCCACACAACCTTCACTTAAACATCTTTCTCAGTGGTTCAGTAGGTGACCACAGAGATAATAAGCCCAGTAGAAGTGCGCTTAGAATAATAGAAATAAAATAGAAAGATGAGCAATATTCTTTTTATTATCCTATTTGTGGACAAATACTAGTCCATTTGGTGGCTTTTGGTATAGTTCTCTGACTTGGTTGCATTTCCGGTACTCTGTACAGTAGTCATTCTGCTGGTCACTGTTTTTGTATATTTCGCCTTTCTCCAAGCTGTTCAGAGTGGAGTGCTCTATTGCCACAACAACCTTATGGGGTAGGCTAAGCTGAGTGAGAGGGACAGTCTCACGGTCATCCAGTAAAGTTCATTGCTAAGTGATGGATATGAATGGGTTTTCCCCCAGTCAGATTCCAAATGATGTGCTCTGTCCATCAAACCAGTATTAGCTCCCTGGATTATGCTCAGCTAACCAGTCACTAGTGAGCTTCACGGTAGAGAGAGAATTTGAACTCTGTGCATCCTAATGCAACCAGGGTTTTTTTTTGGGGGGGAGGCAATTTCTGCTTTTCCCAAGTGTCATCTGGTCCAACCCTCATGAGAATACCCCTCCTGTACTTAGTGCAGGAACTACTTACTTATGGCATGTAAATTGGTAGTAGTAGTACAAGTTTTCTAGGTGCGTTTTTTTAAACTGCCGATTCCTTACTCCTTTCCCCCTTCCAAATTTTGCTCTTCTACAGTCAGTGGATGGGAACTCACTAATCCCTCCCTAACAGAACCACATTTTCCCATCAAGTGAATAGAGTTATTCCCATTTCCTTTCAGTTCTGAACCCATCGTTGTCCAGTGTATACAGTCTAACCAAGTGTGCGTGAATACAAATCTTTAAAGAGTTGTGTACCCCCAGAAATTAAAATTTCTGTACCAAGCAGGCAAGTTGCCACACCTCCAGGAGACTGATTTTGAAAATGCAAGTGATTTGAGTTCCCATTTGTTTTGTGTGGATGACTTTGTCATCTGCCTAAAAAAGGCATTTTAATATAAAGCTGGGTGCCTCCCTCTTCCCGCTCCTTCTGCCACACGAACTTTGTGTATATGTGTTTTCTTTTTCCTGATTGGAATAAAGATTTAGTTTTGCCTTTAAATAGGGTGTGTAGGCGGGAGCTGCAAATACCTCTCTTGGCTAACGGTTCTTAGCATTCCCTCTCCCTCTTCACCCCCTCCACCCACCCCCAAATCTAAAATTAGTAACTGCTCCACTAAACAGTAAGGTGGCAGTCTGGGAATGTTTTGTCACTCTTAAGAGCTTTAGTTTCCTGGCAGAGAAGGCGACTGGAGGAAGGCAGCCAGTTCAACGGGCAATGCAGTCTGGCTAGGATATAAAGTTGGGAAGGAGGGACCTCTCTGAAATGGAGGCTAAAGGGGCATTGCACATAAGATTTCCCAGGCCGTTTCTGATTTCAGAAGTGTCTAGTTCAATTGGTTTTCATCGAAGGAGGAAAGCAAAGCAGAAACCCAAACTGTCCTGATCAAACTTGCGAAGTTAAAAATGAAAAATAAAACTCTGTGTGCTAAGGTGACTTGAATCTTGCATCCCACAGGGCAGAGTTCTGCGAGCTGCATGAATTCTGCAAATATACACAAATTCTGCCAATATTTTTGCAGAACTGGTTGCATCATTCTCTTAGATATAATTCTGGTTTCCTATCATGGAATTGGGAAAAGGAGTCACACAGATTGCTGAAGTTATGCCTCTAGTCACTGGAAATTTCATTTGGCCACCTCTGTGGCATTTGAGGTTTTAGCCAACAGTGCCCTTAGTCTTTGAAGCATCTTGTTGCAGTTTGGAGGCTGAAAGCGTAGTCCTTTTAAAACTGAAGGTGAAATTATTAGCAATCTGGATTCTGTGCTTAATATCCAACGTTACACTTTCCTTTCAGTCCTGCAGAACCAAAGCATGACACAGATCTGGCTGTAAGGCAGATTTGTGGAAAGCCATCAGGTGAATTGAACCAGATTCTGACTTTCCTATAATTGGAAATCACTGTTCTTTTGCCCTGTACTATGAAATGGATAGGAGTTAGGAAATCCTCATTCATATCCCATCTTATCTTGCCAGAGAGTATCTTTGGGGAAGTTGTGTACTTTAAGTGTGTGATGTGATGTGCTGAGTGATGGGACAGCTAGTTTAGCCTGATGCTGTTGCTAGATGCTGTTAATAAGAGTGATTGTGAAGGTGCTCTTGGAGGTTGTGTTTGTAATATCGACTTTTCAGTGCTGTGATAGCTTTCTCTCATTGGCCAGCGACTTCCTGTGTTAATAATAGAATGAGTTGATGTTGTCATCCAGGGTGAGGGCCGCATTCCCTTCTGGGAAACTTTTTAAGGGCCAAGTGGTAGGTGGAGCCAGAAGCAAAAGTGGGTGGAGCAGTGGATGCAAATTTAACATTTATGGTATTATCAGAGTTCAGGGATGCATTCCAGCCAGGCAAAAACATGCAGAGTACAAAGCAGGACCCAAGATAGGTGTGGTTTGTGGAGAGGGTGTGAAGCTTCAGGTTGAGTCCCACGGGCCAGATAGAGAGATTTGGATACCTGCATTTAGCCCCCGGTCCTAAAGTTCTCCAGATATGAAACACCAGGAAAAACAACCTGGGAAAATGAATGGTGATTCTCTCTCCCACCTGGCCTTCACGACTCTGTCCTTGCTATACTCAACCATGCAGGTTTGCCTCCCATATTAAGTAAGTGTGCGTGCACTTTGGTGAAGTACCTATTTCTGATTCACCTGGAAAGAAGCAGCTAATTAGAGAAGCACGTTGACGGCTCTGTTCATGCAGAAATTGTGCGATAGCCCGTTCTCTCTTGTCTTCCTCCAGGGTTGACTTGGGTAGTACACGCACTGCCTTGCCCCCGCGATTGAGGGTGCCGCGGCTGCAAGACATCAGCATGCCAGGCGTGCACACCCCCATAGCCTGCACTCATGACATCAGTGTGCCCCGCAGTGTGTCCACGTGATGTTAGTATGCCGTGTGGTGTGGCCACGCTCTGTGGCATGCCGACGTCACTTGTGTACTCTGTGAGGCACACTGATGTGTAGCGTGAATTCCCCCTGTCTTGCATGTGTGATGCGAGCATGGTGTACCTGTTCAGTAGTATTTGGTAGTATGGTGCCCTGAGCAAGGCCAAAATTTGGCGACCCCAAATGGATCTTCCCAATGATGGCGCTACCTTTGAAGGGGACCCGGAAATGACAATTAATCCAGAATGCGGCAGCTAGACTGGTGACTGGGAGCGGCCGCCGAGACGACATAACACTGGTCCTGAAATACCTACATTGGCTCCCAGTACGTTTCTGAGCACAATTCAAAGTGTTGGTGCTGAGCTTTAAAGCCCTCAACGGCCTCGGACCAGTATACCTGAAGGAGCGTCTCCACCCCCATCGCTCAGCCCAGACACTGAGGTCCAGCTCTGAGGGCGGTTCCCCCTGCCTTTGAGAAGCCAAGTTACAGGGAACCAGGCAGAGGGCCTTCTCGGTAGTGACACCTGCCCTGTGGAACGCCCTCCCAACAGATGTCAAGGAAATAAGCAACTATCTGACTTTTAGAAGACATCTGAAGGCAACCCTGTTTAGGGAAGTCTTTAATGTTTGATGTTTTATCATGTTTTTAATATTCTGTTGGGAGCCACCCAGAGTGGCTGGGCAAACCCAGCCAGATGGGCAGGGCATAAATAAATTATTACTGTTGTTGTTGTTGTTAATTCTGTGCCCCCCTCAGCTTGGCACCCTGCGAGGGTTTTTTGGGGGGTTGGGGTGGGGTTATCCAAAATAGTCAAAACTCTGGGGAGGTGGGTTACTTATCAACTTCAAGGCTAGGAATCTTCTTACAGCGTCTGAACTACTTTTCTTTCTTTCCCTCCAAAATACAGACATGGGCTTGATATTGTACAGGGATCAGAAGCTCCTTTTATCAAAACAGGAAAATAAAGTGTGTCCTTTGCACGCTGGAGGCTAAATTAAAACATGATTAAAGGAAATGCAGACCCGAGGGTTTTAAAAGGAAATGAAAGCTAAAAATAATCTCCCCCCACCCCCAGTGATTCTAGTTTGATTTTATAGCTATATCAGCAAGGGTGAATCTTGCAAAAACACTTATATTTAGGGAGCTTTTCCAGCATCAAAAAATGTGTGAAGTGTACTGAGGTGACCTGGGAGAGGGGGCTATAGCTCAGTGGTGGAAGGCATACTTTAAATGCATGAAGTCCTGAGTTCAGTTCTTGTCATCTCCAATTTAAAAAGGAACTCTTTGACAACAAGTGATGGAAAACACCTTTGCTTCAAACCTTGAAGAGCTGTAACGAGTAATAGTAGGGTAGTACTGAGCTCTATGGACCAACCATCCAACTCTGTACATGACAGGTTTGTGTATGTTTACATGTTTATAAGTGGGACCTACAACAAAACGTTGCAGTGTGAAGTGCTCGTGTTCAGGTTTTGTACTTCTTTTCTGCCCCAACAGCTGGTCAGTACTCCATTCCCAGTGAGATTATATTTATATTTATTTTTATTCCTACTACTACTACTGCTACTACTACGTTTATGTTCCAGCTTTTCTCCAAAGAGCTCAAGGTGGTGTACCTAGTTCTTTTCTCTCTGTGTTTTATCCTCACAACAACCTTTTGGGTTAGGCTGGAAGATTGTGGCTGGCCCGAGGTCGCGCAGCAAGCTTCATGGCTGAGTGAGGATTTGACCCTCAGGCTTCTGATTGTAGTCCAACACTCACTATGTCTTCATTTGTCTGTCGCATTCTCCCCTCCTCCATTTCTCTCTAAATAAATAATAAAGCATTTTATTCTCCCAAGTCTGCTGATATCTCTCTTAGGTTCACCACCTTTCATCTGGGGTTGGCGATCAAGAGCATAGAAGAGATTTAGTTTCACACAGTCTCTAGGTTTGACTCAAAGGCTTTGAGTTTTAGCCTCCTTCTCTCAGGGTGCATAAGAAGGGGGTTAAGTCTTAGCAGGGAGAACCCAAACAATATACTTTATATAGTCAAGCAGCTTCCTTCAAACTTTTTCTATAATAAGAACTTGCACTGTCCTTGTGTTCACTGTCTGCAGTATAAACGAAGTCGGGTAAATTTATATATTCTCTGAAGTCTTTTGGGTACTACTTGATAATGGCATCTTATTGAAACTTGTATCAATATTTACATGTGGTGTTGTTGCTAAATTCCATTTGTATATTTTCTTACATGGATCATCAGGGAGTTGATAGCCCATCTTATATTTGTGTCTTAAATTGTTTCTCCAAATAGTTTTCTTAAAAACCAACCAACCACCAACAAGCTATCATATATTTTGATAGAAGCAGTTTACATAACCACTTTCTTTAAAAAGAGAGGGAATTTCAAACGGTTACTTGCGGAGTTATACATGTGTCTGTGTTTGTGTGTCTGAAGTCAGCACTCTAAGGAATGCATAGCCTTAGACTATTCCCTCTTATCCAGGCACCAATGGGTTTTATTTGCTGAACTTTGGATCTGTTTAGCCTGATGCCATTGGCATGAGTACAGAGGCAACTTGAAAATATCCCCGTTAATTTTTCACCTCTCTTGCTTTCTGTTAGATTAACCGTGAAAGCTGGAGTCCTGTTGAAACTGCTCAGGATCCGTCACTGTTGGAGCCAAAGCATCCATGTCGTTCTGCAGGTAAGATGAATTCTTTAGTCTTCAAGATACAAAATCAGAAAGGCAAGCTGTTGTTACTGAGCTGGCTTCTCTGGGTGAGAGGCTGCACAGAGCATTTGAGTTCTCTGGAACTCTTTGCTAGCCTAAAGTGGGCAAGGTTGGCTTCCAAGCACGATTCAGTGCAAATTCTAAACTTTAAAAGGCCCTGGGAAGGGCCATAGCTCAGCAGTAGAGCACATGCCTTGCGTGCAGAAGGTCCTAGGTTCAATCCTTGGCATCTCCAGGAAGAATTGGAGAGGACCAAAGACCCTGTCTGGAACCCAGCAGTGCTGACTGCTGCCAGTCAGTGTAGACCAGGGGTGATGAACCTGTGACCCTCCATGCATCTTACACTAACACTCAAATTGTGCAATGAGATTTAATGCTTGTGTGCAACAAACTCACTTCCCCCTCCCCAAATTGGGCTTTTTGCTGTAAGGAAAGTGATGGGAAATTGCATTAGAACACAAAGGATCACGATTGCTTGACTTAACGTCATGTAACCTCCCTGCAAGCAGCTCGGAATAAATGCTGAAGAAGCAGCCAGCATCATATAATCTCCCTGCAAACTGAGTTTATATTAAATATGCCCTCTGGTGGCTGCATAACCTCCCGGCTGCTATCCTTGTTGGCAAGATGGTAGAACCTTTCATGTATGTGGGACAGTCCTGCCTTGTGGAAAGACACAGTCTTAATACAAGCTGCACCCCAATGGGCAAACCCCATGTCCTCTTACGTCATGCAAGATGATGTAGTAATAACAAAACACATCAGCAAATGCTTGGGTGAGCAGGTGAATCTTTAAAAGGTGCTGAAACTTTGAGATGGACGATGCTTGTCTTACCTTTGGAATGGGGGGTGATTCCGAAGGTGGAGCATCACAGCAGAAAAGACCCACCTCCTGGTCACTGCAAGATGTAGCTGTGCAGTTGGTAGGACAACCAAGAGATCCTGAGATTCCAACCAACTTGGATGGGAGACGGTATTCTCTCAAGTGATTGGGCCACAAGTTGTCCAGGGCCTTAGATTTTTAAATGCTTCCTTTTAGTTAGTTATTTTAAAGGGGAGGAGAGAGGATACCTCTCTACAGACAGAGAACCAGCACAGCAATGGTAGATGTTCTTGCTTAGTCCTTTGCCTGCTATGCTGGTTTCCTGTTGCAGGAAGTTTTTAATATAGAAGAGTATTTAAAAACAAGCGAGTTATTTGATTGTGAGCCACCTTGTAAAGACTTGTACTAAAATACGTTGGAAAATGTATAAAAGTGACACTTGATTTCCCCAAATGCTGTTTGAGGTACAGACTTGTGTTCTCCCCTCCCTGGCCTTGAACCACCTCATTCTTGCTGTGTTTTTAGACCAGGGAGCCTCTGCCAGTCCCTACATTGGAAAGGTCCCCAGTGTCGTTTTGCTGTGAGATTTGCAAGTAATAGATGTTGACGGATGCAAGCCCTAAATCGCTCGTGCTCAGGAAGCCCGTGGCACGTGTGCTAGGAACTTGTCATCCTTCCAGCTTTGTTGTGATGGTGTTTTCATTGGTAGGGGCTTATCAAGCCATCAGTAGAGGTGGAAACGGACTCAGATTGCACAACACACAGGCACACACTTAAAGCAAAGGCAATAAAAACCCCCACAATAAACCAGGCTTTACCTGAGACGACATGGTACACTTCCAAAGCAACCTTCTCAGTGCACATAGGACAAATTATTCTCTCCCTCCCCCACACCCATTTCTCAACACTTCTTTGTTTCTGATTCCTTCTACACATTTCTGGTCATAACTAACTCTAGTGGGAGAAAAGCAATTTCCTTGAAACCTGTGCTGCTTCATAACTCCCTTTGTTCTTCCATAGTAGAGGCTTTAATTGCCCTTTGGTGTTTCAAGCCTGGCATGTGTGTATGGTTTGAGGCTTTCAGTAAAAGGGCATTGTGGTCACTCGGGCCCCAATTTTTAAACGATTGTAAGGAAATAGCAAGTTGCATTTCCAAGGTATTTCGGGTCTAACTTGCCCAGATTTGATGAAAGACATCCTTTCATGCCAGTAATTATGTTATTTTAACTCCATCATCCATCATAAAGAGGTTTCAACAATTCATTCTCTGGGTGTGTGTTTTTAAAATCACATTTGCAGGAGTTCTAGAGTTATAGGAGGAAAAGCACAACAAAGGTATATGGGGTTATTACAGGCCTAGATGCCATCCAGTATCATGGTTCCATTCCCCATCTCCAACGCTCTTCTGAAAATAATCCTTAATACATGTTCATATTTTTACATTAATTTGGAATCGGTAGACCATTTTGGAGGCAATGAGAAGCCGTGGTTTTATACTACACAAATAACACCCTACCAAACCACTGACTCGCACATTTCCCCCCTTTCCTTCCACGCACCAGAGAAGTAGATGAGAAACTATTGCTTCTCATTTTCAGCAAGCCACAGTTCCCTGTTACATCTTAACTTGGGGATCTGTGGTTGTTTAAACTCTTGCTAGTGAGAAGAAGCTAGGATCAAACACCACTGTTTCTGATCCTGGTTTGCTCAGTAGCTCAAGATTTTTTTATTTATTAAAAAACACACACATTTCCCCATGTTTGGATGTAACAGGGAACTGTGGTGTGCTTTTAAAATTGGAAGGAAAAGCTTCCTGTCACCACCTGCGATATGCTAAGATTTCCTATGGCTTGTTCACACAAGGAGCCTGGGACTTGACAGATGTTGCTGGGCTCCTGTCAGCCCAGCTGTCATGGACCAATGGTCAGGAATGATGGAAGTTGTGGTCCAACAACATCTGGAGGACCTCAGATTCCCCATCCTTCTCATAGCAGGGAACCATGGTTTTGCATTGTGCCTGGACTCAGGCCTTTGTCAAATGCACCCCATTTTATACATGTCTTTAAAAAAACACAGTGAAAAAACTTGAGTCAATATGATCCCACTACAGTTGTACCTTGGTTCTTGAACGGAATCAGTTCTGGAAGTCCATTCAACTTCCGAAAACGTTCGAAAGCCAAGGTGCGTCTTCCAATTGGCTGCAGGAGCTTCCTGCACTGAATCAGAAGCCACGTAAGCTGCGTCGGACGTTCTGCTTCCAAAAAACGTTTGCAAACCAGAACACTCACTTCTGGGTTTGCGGCGTTTGGGAGCTAAAATGTTTGAGTCACAAGGCGTTCGAGAACCAAGGTACGACTGTATTAGAATGGTAAAGTGATTTTGACAAACGTTATGAGAGTTAAAGAGGGGTGAGAGGCTGTATACACATTTAAATCACACCTGAAACACTTTTGCTCCCCCTCCCCATATTCTGGGAAGTGTAGATTGTTAAGAGTGATGGAAATTGTAGCTCGTGTGAGGGTAAGCTACAGTTCCTATTATTATTATTATTATTATTACCACCACTACTGCTATTAATATTATTATTATTATTACTAGTAATACTACTACTAGTAGTACTACTACTAGTAGTACTACTACTAGTAGTAGTACTATTGCTACTATGGGGGGCAGATGTGCTTTCTTTCATGCCTTCCTCATGCCCTCTTGCTGACCTAGCTGTACCTTTTCTCAGCACGTGAGTTGATTAACTTCTTTGGACAAGGTATGTGCCCAGTGGCCAGCCTGGAACGTCCTTTTCAATTTTCCATCTGAGCTTTCTTGCGGAGCCGGCTTGTTTTTCCGTCTGGAATGTGGTGGGACATGGTCTGTTAAATTGCCAGCTGGATTTGGTGGGAATGCTGGCTTGCAGTTTGTTACGTCTTCTCTCCCTCCCCTGCCTCTCTCAGTCTTTCCCCCCCACCCGCCCCAACCCATACATATCCCAACTTTTTCCTTTCCCACTTACAATGGAAAAGAAACCCAGACTTGCCAAGGTTGGGTTGAAAGTGGAGAAGGTGCAGGGAAAGAAACTGCACCTGATAAAATAAAAGAGCTATTCCCTCCGCGGTGTGGAAGCTCCTCTGTGGAATGCCAGTATTTCCACTCCTGGCACTCATCTCCCACAGCAGAGTTTTTCTGGTGCGTGAAGTAGGCCTATTGCATTGAGGATGGCGGGTTTGCCGAATCCCAGAATGTGAGTTGACTCATTGCATAGCCAAAGAATTGCTTTTCAAGCTGTAAGGAAGCCTAGCTGTGTTGCAGCCACAGTCTGCAACATGGGAGCAGTAATGCTGGTGTCGTTTAATGGCAGGGATGTGTCTATGCCGCGATTCTACAAGAATACAGTGGTACCTCGGGTTAAGTACTTAATTCGTTCCGGAGGTCCGTTCTTAACCTGAAGCACCACTTTAGCTAATGGGGCCTCCTGCTGCTGCCGCGCCGCCAAAGCATGATTTCTGTTCTCATCCTGAAGCAAAGTTCTTAACCTGAAGCACTATTTCTGGGTTAGTGGAGTCTGTAACCTGAAGCATATGTAACCTGAAGCGTATGTAACCCGAGGTACCACTGTATGCAGTTCTGGGAAGCTCAGGTTTTTGCTTTTTCAAAGGAAAGTTTCTAGTCCTTATGGCTGGGAAGATATACAGTGGTACCTCAGGTTACAAACACCCCGAGTTACAAACACTTCGGGTTACAGACTCCGCTAACCCGGAGGTAGTACCTCAGGTTAAGAATGGTTTCAAGTTAAGAACGGACCTCCGGAACGAATTAAGTTCATCACCAGAGGTGCCACTGTACTTGAAAGATGTGGGTAGAATCTGTGAAAACAGAGTGACGGATGGATATGATTCCTATTGGGTTTGGCTTTAGTAGCATGTGTTGTTCTCAGCCCCTGCCTGTGAAAGACTTCATTTAAAAAAGGGGGGAAGGTTAAAGGTAGCTTGACCAGCATATTCAGTGCATTGCTGGGTTCAAGTGAAGATGGAGAAAGGTTCAACTCTGTTATTTTTGCAGCTTTGTTTAAAAAGAAAAAAAAACAACTTTCCCAATGGGAACAATGGAAGGGAAATAAGAGGAAGATACTTGGCTGAACTCCTGAACTTGCCTGTATTTCTCCCCAGTTTAGGGGCATGTGGGGACCCTGATGGCCTTGTGTCTTCCCCTGGTGCACCCATTTTTGGGCCCCAAGTGTTTGAACTCCAGCTTTGGTGGTTGGGGCCAGCACATCAGTGGCTCAGGTAGTGGCAGGGAAGCAGGATCTGCCATTGAATTTCCTCCTCTGATGTCAGAGCTCTGTTCCCCTCAGAGAGGGAAGACCTGATCTTCCTCAGAGCTATTGGACTGCAGCCTAAAGTATGCAGAATGACAGTTTC